TGCAATTTATGTTTGTAAACTGCCTCCACGACACAGGAGAAAATCCTAGTGTGGGGGGGGGGGTTACGTTTTTTAAAAAGAAGAAAAAAAATAAGAAAATGCAGATGAGTTGTCAACCCTGAGGACTAGGATGGAGTGCATCGTTTCCAGTAAAAAGGGTCTCCGGTTCTCTACACTCACCATACGAAACACAGCAGCATTGAGCCGCTATTTACGCTGGTATTCTGTGAGAGCGTGAGATTTCTTAAGTTGCTAATAAATAATTGATATTGTAAGTGTAATAAGAAGTTTATAAGTTTTGATTTTAGTGTATTTTTTATTTTGGATTTTACTTCTGGTCGATAATATCAGAAGTGGGATATTGCTTCAGAAACAGAAACTGAAACAGAAACAGAAACTTTTTGTATTCAATATAGATTATAAATAATACTTATTGAAAGTCACTCTTTTGTTTGATTACCACTGGTTCGGAAAAAACCTCTGTCCTGGGAAGAACCAGCAAGAAACCCAGCGGGACTTTTTTTTAAATAACAGCTTACAATCATGATGTTACACAAATTAACAACACAACAAATTAGAAATAGCTTGGTAGCGATCACCTCATTTCCAGGGGTTATTATCATCCATAAATTCCTTAATATTATAATAACCCTTTTTATACAAACTTAGTTTAATAAAGTTTTTGAACTTTGAACAGGTCAAACTTTGTATATTTTCTGGAATTTTGTTGTAAAAGCGTATACATCGCCCCAAGAATGAATTACTGACTCGATGGAGTCGAGTAACTGGTACTACTAGCTTGTGTCTGTTCCTAGTATTTACATAATGATTATCACTTATTTTTGTAAAACTACTTTTATTTTTGTGTACGTACATTACATTTTCATAAATGTATTGAGAGGCCAAAGTTAATATATTAATTTCCTTAAATTTTTGTCGCAGCGGCTCTTTAGGCTTTAAATCACAAATTGCTCTTATGGCCCTCTTCTGCAAAACAAATATAATTTCAGTGTCAGCTGCATGTCCCCATAGCAAAATAACATACGACATTATGCGATGGAAGTAGCTGAAGTAAACTAGTCTAGCTGTTTCAACACTGGTTAGACTTCTAATCTTTTTTACAGCATAAGCTGCAGAACTAAGTCTGCTTGCTAGTTTTGATATATGGGGGCTCCATTGAAGCTTCGCGTCTAGTGTGATTCCAAGAAAAATGGTGGTATCTACAAGACTCACTTTCTCCCCATTTAAAATTACATTAGTATTTAATTGTTTGACATTTGGAGTCACGAATTTCATACATTTTGTTTTAGTGCCATTTAAATGCAAATTATTAACCTCGAACCAATTCGTCGCCTAACCGCCTTTGGAACACCTGACTAACATTAAAGTTATAGATTAGTGTCGTGATTACATTTTAAGGTTTTAGTAGTTTTCTTTTTGCTTAGTGTTCAGTTTATAAATCTTAAAATGTCTGAACAACAATCTCGCACTCCTAAACGCAAGCATGAGTCGAACAAGGATGTGCTGAATGCTATCCTTGCTAGATTGAATACGCTTGAGTAACGTTTCACTTCACCGCCACCGCCGTCCGAGCCACTTTTACATGCCGCGTCTACATCTTCGGGGCAGGCACCGCACCCGGTATTGCCCGCGCTAATGATTCGTGCAGCCACCGACGACGTACGCGATGATGACTCGACGACAGTTCACACACCCGTTTCTGTATCACGGGAAAGCATTGCCACAGGCGGAGTCACAACTGGCAGAACCGTGGAGGTCATCACTTCGTTAGTTAAAGTAAGGTCTAATAATTATTATATTTCTAACTTTGACCCTCATTTTCACAATATCGACACGAGTGTTTGTCGCGAATCGGTAATTTTTTGAAGGGAGAAGCACGTGTGTGGCTTAGCGAGTGGTCCAGCACCGATCGTTCGTGGAGGAATTTCAAACAAGAATTTAAAATGCCGTGTCCACGAACCGTCGATATTGCGTCTATTCTTTACGAAGTAATGACCAAAGATTCTAAAAGTTATGCTTCTTACACCGAATACGCTAGACGTTCTTTGTTAAGGTTGGGTTTGTTTAGGGGACTATCTGACGAAATGATTGTCGCTATAGTATTAAGGGGCATCACAGATCCTCATATTAAAGCTGCATCTACTAATGCAAAGTTAGAACCCAACGATTTAGTGCAATTTTTGTCGATGTACATAAAGCCAAAAAATGATTTAAAAACAACGTTCAGAGTCGACAAAAATAAACCCGCACAATGAAAATTTTTGTAGTTAATTAGACAGTAATGTTTCGGGATCGATAATCGATGTTACGATTAATCGATGAATCGATTTATTAGTAGACAGCGGCTCCTGCATATCACTCGTATCGAGTTCCTTCTTCAAACATTTTAAGGTTAACCATATCGCATTTTACGAGGTATAGGAAGTCAGCTTATCGAATGTACCTCGTTTGCGATATTAATTGTGGAGCTACCTCACATATCTATTGAAGCCGTTTTTTATGTGGTACCCCAAAATTGTATCAGTACTCCGGTCATTATAGGCACCGATATTATGAATCGTGAAGGCATCACATATATTCGACAAAATGGTGTTCAAATTATGACGCGTATAGTCATACCTATACGGGTAAACCATGCTTTCGATATTAATAAACACACCTAGTAAACCAGAGTATCTTAAAGGTGAAGAGAAAGAACAGCTTCTGTTGGTTATCAGTGATTTTTCAAAGTTCTTTATAACTGGCACGGCTTCATCAACAGTCACGACAGGTAGTATGAAAATAGAAGTTTCCAATAATGAACCGGTATGTTATAGGCCGTATAAATTATCTTACGATGAGAAGCTTCGCGTTCGTACTATAGTTAAAGACCTAAAGGCATTATACGTAAATCCGAATCACCATACGCCAGCTCCGTGATCTTGGTAAAAAAAAAAGGCACAGATCGAATGTGCGTAGATTATAGGGTTTCGAACTCGCGCACTGAAAAAATAAGTTTCCCTTGCCACTTATAGAGGATCAAATTGATAGGTTAGGGTCAAGTAGATTCTTTACGAGTTTAGATATGGCGACTAGCTTTCATCAGGTACCAATGGAAGCAGGATCAATTGCCAAAACCGCTTTCGTGACCCCAGAAGGTCACTTCGAATATGTAAAGATGCCTTATGGTCTTTCTAATGCTCCAGTATTTTATCAAAAGGAAAGGTCCTTGTGTACATAGATGACGTCCTTTTGCTATCTGATACGGTACTCGAAAGATTAGCCCTACTACGACGAGTCTTAGAAACTCTTACTTCGTTTGGTTTCTCTGTAAATCTTAAGAATGTATCTTTCTAAGCAGTGAAGTAGAGTACCTTGGGAGGGTAATTAGTAATGGTCAGGTTAGGCCGAGCATGCGTAAGGTCCAGGCATTGGTTGATTCTCCAAAGCCTCGAAGTGTTAAACGAATTCGACAGTTCCTTGGCCTTGCGGGCTATTTCAGAAGGTATATTCCAAATAATGCCCAGCGAACAGCTTGTATCGCACATTTAACTAAAAAGATCATGCCGTTTGAGTGGGGAGTCGAACAAGATAAATCTCGTCAGTATATTATTGACCGTTTAACAAACGAACCCGTCCTTGCCATTTACGACCCTCAGTTATCTACGCAGGTGCACACAAATGCAAGCCCTATCGGTTACGGTGCAGTCTTAATACAGATTCATGAGGGTGGGCTTAGACGTGCAGTAGCGTATTTTAGTAAATCAACCCAAGGCGCGGAACCCAAATATCATTCCTATGAATTGGTAACTCTAGCCGTAGTTAAAGCTCTCCAGAATTTTAGAAAGTACTTGTTAGGCGTATCCTTTAAAATTGTTACGGACTGTAACGCTCTAAAGCTAACCGAGCATAAAAAGGACTTGCTTTCCCGTGTAGCTAGGTGGTGGTTATCCATGCAAGATTTCCAGTATACTTTCGAAAACAGGATGGGTTCTTTAATATCCCATGCCGATTACCTTAGTAGAAACCCTGTGGAGGTATACCATATTCAAAACCATGACCCAAAAATTGGACCAAGTTAGCTCAATCTGCAGATGAGGAGACACTTATTCTCATTGGTAATTTTTTTTATAGGATAAGGGTGACAAACGAACACACAGTCCACCTGATGGCAAGTGGTTGCTACGGCCCATAGACATCTACATCTATCCTCTATTACAAATCAAAATGTAGATGCGTTGTCACCCGTGAGGACTAAGATGGAATGCCTCATTTCCAGTAAAAAGGGCCTCCGGCCACCTGCACTCACTAAGCGAAACGTAGAGGTAAACCTCTACTTCACGCTGGTTTTCTGTGAGGTCGTGGTACCACCCCGGTTCGAGCCGGCCCATCCGTGCGACAGCAAAAGCTACCGCGTGGCTCTACCACAATTAATTTATTCAATAACGGTCAAATAGACTCTTCCCGAAACGAGTTACGAAATGGACTATTATAAGTCAAATATTTTCCCATTGGCGAAAAATCCCGCCTATTGTGCTATATTCCCAAGGGATTTCGACTGAGTCTGCTTCATATGTTTCATGATGACCAACATCACATTGGGTACGATAAAACGATAGAACTTATTTTACGTCATTTCTGATTGCCTGGATTACGCCCATTTGTCAGGAAATATCCCAAGCATTGTATTGTGTGTCTGTTACACAAACTGTTGCCGCATGCCCCTCATCAACCCATCGAATCTTGGAGTAAGCCAGACGTACCATATTCGGTAGTACACATGGACACACTTGGTCCTTTGCCTGAATCTCAAGGTTATAAAAACGTATCGATTATTATTGATGCATTTACGAAATATTGCCTTCTTTCTATACTCCCTCTGTCGTCAAGACACTGACGAAATGAAAAGAGCCTTCACTAACGCGGTTTCGATGTTTGGGTCTCCGAGACTTTTGGTCGCGGATCGAGTACGGATGTTTAAGAGTGCCGCTTTTCAAGATATGGTCAGTTCGTTTGGCAGCGACATTCACTTCATTACGCCAAACATGCACCATGAAAATGGACAGGCAGAGCGTTATTGCCGAACTTTAGTAAACCTTCTTCGTATCGAAGTTAACCAAAGAGGTCAAAGTTGGTCTGATGTATTGTGGAAAACCCAACTTATTTTAAATAGTACAAAACACAGTTCAACCAATATGTCGCCCTTTCAGTTGCTTATCGGAAGCGACTCTTCTACCCCAATTATACGTGCTCTTGTCAGAGATGTTGCAATAGATATTGCTACTCCAAACCGTGAAGCGCTTATGGCGCTGCGAAGACACAGTGTGTCGTCACTACTGTCTACTAACCAGCAAAAACAAGACTATCGTGTGAATAAAGTTCGTAGATCACCTTACGAGTTTGAGGTAAACGACAAGGTATTTGTGATTAAGGCTTCGCAGTCAGCGGGGAAATTAGATTCTTGGATGCGCGGACTCTACAAGGTATTGAAAAGACTTCCACATCATCGGTATAAATTGGAGCTGTTGGCTGGCTCGTACGGGAAGCGTACAGAAGCTGCAGCTGAAAACATGGTGCCGTGGGCAGGAGAGTGGACTCCCGAGATCTGTGCTGCCTTTTTTGATTGTAAGTCATCGATGTTATTATGTTTGACTGTCGTTTGTTCTGTCGTTGTGTTGTCGTTGTTTCGTTGTATGTATGGGTTAGTGTACTTATACATATCCACGTTGTCATTGAGATGTTTTCTCTGTCACGGCAGATGGACCACTCACTAAGAGTTTTCCATGTTCACGTTGGTATCGAGTGTAATTCTATACCACGGCAGATGGAAGGTTCCGAAGGAATCTCTTCCAAACTTACGTTGACATTGTGATGTTTTCTCTGTCACGGCAGATGGACTACTCATTCGGAGATTTTCATGTTCACGTTGGTATCGAGTGTGATTCTCTACCACGGCAGGACAGTTGCGCAAAGGAGGTACTGTCACGGTATACTAGTTACTACCGTAATATAGCCAACTGATGTATGGTGTATGAGGGCACTCCAGAGAACGATATGAATGAACGTGGTTAATTGCTTGAACGATTTGTATGAGAAATGAGTGTAATGTCATGAAGTATGAACGTTTTCTTTGTAAGAAGTATGCTGTTACGAGCTATGATGATAAATTCTAATGTGTTCAATTCAATTGTAACTTTTAGCGGAGTCGGATGACTCGTTCCATGACACTTCGGAGGAGGCTGAGGCGAGGTCAAACCTCGAACACATAAAGGTTGCGGACGAGGACGACCGCCTGTCAGGAGAGGCCGTGTTACAAGATGATGACTAAAAGAGGGCGTGGCTTACGGTTGCGTCACCGAGATGGTGGGGTAAAAGCCGGTCGCGGTTGCAGCAGCACTTTGGCTCGAACGGTCGGAGAGAACGGACGTGCTAGGAATTAGATGTTTGCTTATTTTGCTAATTAATAATTGATATTGTAAATGTAATAAGCAGTTTATAATACAAGTTTTGATTTGAGTGTATTTTTTTATTTTGAATTTTACTTCTGGTCTGGTATTTTTCAAGAAGTATGTGTAATACCTGTAATAAAGTAAACACTTGGTTTTTATGATTTTTTGTAAAAATATTATGCTTTTATTAGTGTATGTCTTGTTTGTGTTAAATAAATAAATAAGTTTCTATTTAATCAGTAGTACCTAACAGGGTTGATGAGTTAACCCACTACTTTCATAGGTAAATAAAACAAAATGCCTATAACGTTTTTTTATAGGATCGGGTGACAAACGAGCACAGAGTACACCTGATGGTAAGTGGTTGCTGTGGCCCAAAGACATCTAAATTTAGCTGCAGCATGGCTCTACCACGTATAAAAATCTTTTTTATATTTTAATTATATATTTTAATTTTAAATAATCATTCAAGTTTTGTTTACTAATCAATGAGTTTTCGGTTTATTTAACTTATATTTTAGAAAAAGAATACAAAATAAACATAAATCAAGCAAATTTCTTCCTGGTGTTTAAGACATGCCTTTGTTTACATTTTTCCCAGTTATTTTCACTTTCGCATCAATGTTTTCGCTTAAGATCCTCGTATGATTTGCTTCTCAGGCGAGAAGCAAATCATACGAGTTTGAATGACGCATATGAAATATTAATGTTTAGCTGGCGAGATAAAATTTTCGTTTGACTGCGTTTGGTGTAGTATGATTCCAATTGTATTTAGGAATATACTTACATAACACGTAATACTTCAATGAAGGGAATAGGAAATACCGGAAGAGAACTATTTAAACTTGCGATCTACGGAGTCAAGCTGCGTAAACGCTGACTTGCTACACTAGCTTAACGTGCGTTGCTGTATACGCTGTATATTCAATTGAGCTTTATGTAAACCGGTTCGCATCTTCGGCTCAGATACTTAAACCGTGAGCTGATGCTATCTCACGTTCATTTATTGAGCTACTTATGTCTATCATTTCGCGGTGGTATTCTACGCATGATTCGTTTTTTTGCTGTTATTACACGCTGGTATTCTTTGCGAGAATCGTCTTTCGGTCCAGCCGACCTGTTAATGCTACAGCCATAATACGCTACAGCCCTACAAGTTACGAAGTACCACGTGAATCTGTCTTGTTACCGTCTCCGTTACAGCCTATCAAAAGTCCACTACTGAACGTAGCTCTCCCACATTAATTGCTTCTCATACTATCCATTTTTTTAAGTTGTGAGGTTGCCGACCGCAGTTTAAAAAAAACATTAATAATTCAGGAATACATATACTTCAATAAATTTCATAAGTTCAACCGACAAGTGATCTGGATGAAAGTTTATTAAGTGACATCCACGAAAACAGTGTATTTTTTTTGACTTACTAAAGTAATATCACTTATAGTTTCATCGCAATCTGCCACGAAATATGATTTTTTTAATCATATTTTATCTATTTTTTTTTAAGTTTATATTTCTCCAAAATTATATTATTTAATTATATATGACTAAAGTAAAGAATAGGATATGCTCTTCAAAAAGAGGTATAATTTATTTCTAAACTCTCTTGCGGATATCACTTATGGTATCACTTTTTTAGGTGTAATAGGTTGATAGCAAATTTATCAAGAATAATTTAGTACCTATACACTTTTCATGTATCGTGTACGGTTTTCTAAAAATTCGCGCTTTGAGACACTTTCTGAGGTGCGGTGGGATGACGTTCACCCGGGAGAGGGAAGGAGAGTGGATAAACCTTCGTTCTATGACGTACATAATATGCAGATAGATGAAAGTACTCCATTAATTTTGCCATTTTTTCCATACATTGATATCTAGAATGCGTGAACAACTAACGCTTACTAATAGACTTGAAAAAGAGGAGGTTCTATAATAATTGAAGCGTGATAATATGTTTCTTTTGTATAAATTTGGTATAAGTGATCAGAACGTCATATATTCGCTTCATAATGGATGTGATTTCATCGATCCATGCACAACTTATCTTAATATAATTCTATCCAAAGATTTTAGGTTTTAAACATCATGAATTCTTGAAGGGCGTTTAATCTCTTTCTACTGAAAGCGCTTAGTTACGCTCAAAATAAAATTCAAATTTTCGTGATCGTTCTAAGTTGTTTTTATCGCCCACATTTTATGTAATTTTTATTTATTTATTTTAATATTTAATTTTTGGGGTAGACATAAAGTAAAATAAATAATCTATTATTACAATGGGTAATGAAACTAAGAGCATGATTTCTGTTATTAAGTTGAGTTAAAAGTGAAATACTAATAAATATTTAATTGAATACTTACTTAATTATTCAATATATTACTATCGAATTCCAACCTCTGGACGACCATTAGTGAGAATAAAAATATCTACACTATTTCTATTTCAATTACAACAGTGGTGAAGCAGTATAAAAATTAAAATTAGCCAATTAAAAAAGCCATAAACCAAATAAATTACTAACTTATTCGGCTTTAAAACTATCGAAGTAAAATATTCTTTGCGAACGAAGTAGCGGGCAAAGCTAGTAGATATTATATAATAGACATCAATCTTTATGAGGCAAATTTATTAATTCTTATTTTTATAATATAAGCAAAGTAAGAAAAGAAGGCGCAAACTACTTAGAGATATTTGAATAAGATTTACCTGATCTTTTCGTGTTGATCTTTTTCTTTCAGTCTTTTTTTTTTCAATATTTTTATCGCCGAAACAGTTTTATTTCTAAGAGCAGTTTAAGCTTTGTTTAGAATAAAAAGACACCTTTATTATAAAATCGAAATGATAAACGAACTTAGAATTCACACGATGTTAGGTAGTTATATTTATTTTACTTAATACAACTTATTATAATGTGATATAAAGGTGGACTTAACACCCGGGTCGTTCTCTAGCAGTTAACATTTATACACAGGGTGATAGAACGATAAAAATATGAAGTAGGTGTTTATGTTGATAAATTATAATTATAAAAATAAAGTTATTTTTAGACTAAAACGCATGACCATACCTATCAATATAAACCTCAGCTTAAGTGGATCACCAAACTTGTTCATTTTTTAATTCTAATTGATCCATATTCGCCTTCTTACCTTAACGATCTATTTTAGTATCTCTCTTCTTGTCATGATAGGGTTTTCCAATCTTCTTCTAACAACAATTTCATATTCCTAGTAATTTCACAAGGTTCTACGAAAACTCCTTCACTGTTCAGACTGCAATTCTTTAGAATTTTTTTCTCGATGACTTCAGTAAAGCGGCAAATATATACTCCTTTAAAAAGTTGGTTCTTAAGTATCTACTGAGGAATTATTTGAAATAAAATATTGGAATATTAAATAGGGAACCGGAAACCTTTCTTACTGGAAACAAGGCATTCTATCTTAATCTTCATGGGGACAACGCATCCGCATTGTGATTCTTGGTCGAGGGTAGATGTAGATGTCTATGGGCCACTGCATCCACTTAACATCAGGTGGACTGTGTGATCATTTCTCACTCTTCAATTGTGAACCGATTATAACGATCATTTTTTTAATATATAAGCTTATTTCTCCGGAGACCACATTTTGTATATTTGAAGACAAAAATTTTACCTCTTTTGATAGGTTGTAGTGATGATGACTTAGGTTAATATGATGTGTAAACGATCGCTTGGTAAAATGTGAAAAGATACCAAATCTAACAGCAGTGTCTTCACTGCCGTGTTCCGGTTTGAAGAGTGAGATATAATAACAGTCTGTAAGGAAATCTTAAGGCTTCTTTTATATTTGAAGTTGGTTGCAGGTGGTCATGGAGTGAGTAGCCACTTACAATGTGGGAATGGTGCTTTATAAATTTGTTTATCATCTTAATCATTACCCAACTGCACCAGGAGGTTAATAGTTTTCGAGTGTATGTAAGTATATTTGTCATTTTGTATATTTGTAAATATGTCTATTTCTTTGGCATTTTCTGTCTCTTAAATGGCTTGATAGATTTTAACGCATGCACCATTGTTAGATTTGTTTCAATTGTAGAAATTACACAAAGCTTAATTTTGTTATCTTTTCATAGAACTGTTTTACGAAGTCAGGGTTTTAATTACTGTTTTAATTAAAGAGCTTGTTTTAAAAATTATCTTGTTAATCCATACAAAGATTACAATATTTTTATATTTGAAAAGGTTCAGCAAAATAAAAATTGAAAAAGTAAACGAATGAAAGAAAAAGATCAACGTGAGCATCCCAAAGAGGTCAGGTAAATGTTATTCAAATATCCCTTAAGCAGTTTGGCGCTTTTTTTTTCTACTTTGCTTATGTAATAAGAATAGAAATCAAATCCACTTACCTTATAAAGATTGATGTATATTTTATTGTATCTACTATTTGTACGCACTACTTCATTCACTTTATCGTTTCTTAACGAATGTTGTTATCTTTTTGTTAAATATAAAATTACCAGCATCCCTGGGGAATCCCTCGCTAAGCATCCACGACCAGCATGGAGCTTCTGAGCGTGGGTGCTCAGGTGAATTTCTGCAACATCAGGGGACTTCACTCGAACCTCAACGCCGTCCACTACCATCTTGAGATGGCGAAGCCGGCCTTGCTATTCCTGACCGAGACGCAAGTGTCCTCTCCGGCTGATACTTCGTATCCGTCCTACCCGGAGCACAAATTAGTACACTCCGTTGTGCCTCGGGCTGGAGTTTGCGTATAAGTCAGAGATGACATCTGTTCTGGACGCCTCGGCAGTCTTAAAAGTTCGAACCTGTCCATTCTTTGGCGACAAATAGACAGCTACAAACAACTGCGCGTCTACGGGTGCCTCTATAGGTCCCAT